GCCTTTCAAATAAAGAAATATATCTTTAAAAAAAAAAAAAAAAAGAAGCACTTGACAGGCCTTTTGGATCTACCTCCCTGAAAACCAAGACTCACTCTCAATCCTTGAATTTTGAATAAATTGTTCTCTTGCTCTTTTGTGTATTTTTATGACTCATAAATGCCTCCTTAAAATACATTTTTTGCCTATTTTTAAACTTTATATAATGGGATTTTTTTGTATAATTTTTCTGTGGCTTACTTTTTTTGTCCAATAATCTGTTTCTGAGATTCACGTGTGTGGGGAGCAACTTGGACTAGACTAAGTTACTCGAATTAAGACTTATTCTATGCATCTGCTCTCCCACAATATGGCGCTGAGAAGGGAGTAACAACTTCTACGCAGCTGCCTCTCGCCAACTTGAGTGATGACCTGCAGGAGCTGATCCTGCTCCTGATTAGAGGAGAGCAGCGTACTCGGCGTGTGGGTAGCAGAGTTGGGATTGGTGGAAGAGGACTATAAAGGAGGAGAGAGACAACATGCACCAGGAACATCTATCTGAAGGAACACCTGAGCAGCCCTCGAGAGAGCCGGCCGGCGGTGTGCCGCTCCCCCGCGGAAGTGGGGAAAGTGGCAGGGGGAACCGCCCTTCCACAGAGGTGGAAGGGTCGGTAGCCAACCCGGGAAGAACCAGCAGCAAACCCGGGGAGGGCCGAGCAGACAAAAGAACAGCGCAGGGTCCTATGTTGTTCCTCCACGAAGAGGGGGAGCGACAAAATGGTGCCATGACTCGGATATGAAGCTTAGGAGGCATAATGGTGCCGTGACTCGGATAGGAAGCCTAGGCAGGGTTTAGTGTCGTTCCTCCGCGAAGAGGGGGAGCGACACACATGTGTACAACTTGAGACGTTACCATGACAGATTTACCTGGATAACGTAAGTAGATGACTTTTGTAGGAAAAGAAACTTACTGCTATTCCTTGTTGCCAAGAGATTTTCATCAGAAAATGTTTTAAATTTTATGAAAGATTTTTATATTTGAGTACATGTGTGTCCATATTCCTTTCATTTGTTTGTATAATGATTATATGAATTATTTTATAATGTATCAACATTGCAGTTCCTGAGCTAAAACCTCATCAATCATTTCTTTATATATTATTGGTTATGGCTAATCATTTTGGTTACATCTATGTTCTTTGGCGAGATTGGTCTTTAATTTTTCTTCCTTGGACTGTCCTAGTCTGATCAAAACCGTGTGGCTCTGTAAAATGACTTTGAAAATATTCCCTCTTATTGTTTTTCACAAGAGTTTGTGTAGGATTGGCATTGTCTGTACCAGGATGCTATGCCCAATAATCCCGTAGGCCCATCTTGGTCTGGTATTTTCTTTGTGGGAAGATTGTCTGCACCCCTGGAGAGAAGTTTCCTTCCACTTACTGCTTCAGCTGCATCCCACTCGCCATCCTACAGGTTCTCTACTGCACAGGAGATGGCCCAGCAGAACTGAGTCCAAACTCCAGGGCCAGCCACCCTCACGGAAACCGGGGCCCCACCATTTCTCATCTCTAAGGCCTGGCCAGGTTGTTCATCCTGTTTGGGCCTCAGTTTCAACCAATCCAAGTGTGGAAAACGTCACATGGAGCTGTTGGGAGGATTAAAAATACACAGTGTTTGGGACACTGGGTGATCACAAAGTGCCATCCACAGTGTTTCTTGTTAGATTTTATTCTTTGGCCTTCTTTCAACTTGGGAGTGGTTGCATATCTGTTCCACAATTTCTAAATGTGTGCATGTGTTGGTGGGGGAGCAGTCTCAAGTTCATTTTTCTTGCTCTTGTTTTATGTAACTGAGGCCATGAGTGTGATCCATACAATATCCGTTTGTTGAGGCCAGCACTGTGGCCTAGCAGAATATTAATTTCATAAATGCCCCACAGGTGCTTAGAAATATATTTTTTCTCAGAACATGATTAGGAATTGTGCCTTTCTAAACTATATCCTAGCTAATAATTTGCCCACTTAATCCAAGAAAAGTGTGCACAGTCGTAAAGCAGGTGAGTGATCTACGTAGACACTCTTTCTGTTTAGCATCGCCACTCTTCCCGAGTGTCTTATAAAGTCTTCCTTTAGGGAACAGTTTATTCTAGAACAGTTTTAGATTTAGAGAAAAGCTGTGAGGGTGGTACGGAGAGTTTCCATGGAAGCCACACCTGCTTTCCTATGCTGACATCTTACCTCCCTGTGGCACCATGGCACAATTAGTGCACCAATATTGCCAAGTTAAGAGCTCGAGTCTGTGCTTTGAGATGGCCTTGGTTGTTGCCTGAAGTTCTTTGCCCAGCCCAGGATCCCACTCACGTTGCGCTGTGTCCTCTTGTCTCCCCGGTTGGGACAGTTTCTCAGACTTCCCTTGTTTCGATGGCCTTGACAGTTTTGAAGAGCGCTGGTCAGATACTTTCTAGCAAAGCCCTCGGTTGCGACTGTCTGATATTTTTCTGGTTATTAGACTAGGGTTTTGAGTTTAAAAGATTTTGAAAATTTTTTCTTGTCTATTTGAATGACAGAAAGAGAGTTGGAGATATATGTATATATTTGACTCAGGGAGCGTCAGCCACCTTATCTTGAACACTCAGCAGCCTCAGGGAAGGGTACACTCGGTGAAGAACCGAGGCCTCTAACTGTACCCGGGACCGACTTGCCAGTGATCGCGGGCACCATCTTGGAGTCCGATCCACTGGTCTCAGTCAAGCCTTCGGATGACTGCAGTCCCGTGAGCGACCCTAATCCAGATGCACGCAGCTGCGTCACTCTGGAATCCCTCGGCAGCAGCAACTGTGTGGCGTAAATATTCACCGTCATTAAAGGCAAACAAAAGCAAAGGATGGGTCTCAAGCTTTGCAGCCGGGTTCTGGGCTTCCCGAGATGGGTTTGTGGGAAGGAGTGCAGACTGGATTGGCCCCCGGATTTCCTCCCCTTAACCCACAGCAGTCTGCCTTTCTCTGCTGTATTTATTGAGGATCAGTGTAGGATTTTTGTTGAAGAAGGAAGCCTACTGCTAAAAATAAAGTTGAAAATTCTGGCTTAGAGAAACTCTGGCTAACTCTGGATGACATGTATGGTCCTTTCTGTCTCTTCCAGTGGTTCCACCTGTCAGTATGGAAGAGAGAAGTTTTCTAAAAATCACAGGCTGCCGTTCACTTCAAGGCTTGCTCTTCTTAGAGTGAAACGCAATCCTAGAGGTTGGAGCTGCCCCTGCTGGCTGAGGCTGGGCAGAGCTCAGAGCACTGATTTTTACTCACGAGCTCATTTCTCCTGGTCTCCTGTCCTGTTTCCTCACTTAATCCTCATGACCACCCCGAGTGAGGCAGTTCACAGGCTGCAGAGAAGGCTGATCGGTTACATGATTGACCAGAATCCTGGATGGACAAACATCTGTAGTTACAAAGCCCTGCCCACCACCTGGCGAATCACGGGCCGGGATGAGAACTGAGCTGCTTCTCTTTGGGGCTGACACACACTGATCTCACACCAGCGAGTTTTAACCATCTTTATAAAGAAACTCTTCTTCGTGCACTGACTGACACCCTCTGAGAGCTTGCTGTGTGCTTAGGTTCTAGTCTAGAAACTGGATAGAAGAGAGAGGAAAACAGAAACCAGCACTTCCTCTGGTTATGCTGGGCTGCAAGAGGACCTGGGAAGCCATCAGCTGCTTCCACAGCTCCACAGCCAAACCCAGGACAGGAAACCAGGGAAGGGTCCCTTCAAGGGTCCCCAAAGATCAAGGCCTTACCTTGGAATACGGCTAGAAAACACCTTCAGGGGACAGGGAGTGCTGGATCCCAGCCAGCCTAGAATTCCTCCCTCCACCCAGGGAGTCGGGTGGGGCCCAACACTGACAGTGCTCCTCCAAGCTGGGCATGCTCTCCAGGGGCCTACCTATGAGCACCACGACAGGCCCATCGGGCTGCTTCTGTAGTGAGCAGCCAGGGCATTGCACTAGAACAGTTTTTTTTTGTGGCATCACACCAATGTGGAGGATCTAGTGTTGAGAAACCACGTTTTAAGTCTGTGCAGGCATCGTTCAGAGATTGTGCCGGTACAGGTCTCACTCGCCCATGTCATGTGATATAGGTCCACCTTCCAGGCCCGTGATCGTGTTAGCGATTCTGCACTGCAGCTGGAGCCTTGTTTCTGTAAGACTCCCACTGTTCGATCAGCATGTTCTGTCCAAGCTCCTCAGAGGTGGAGCCAGCACTGCTCGGTCACTGACTTGGCCCCCTGCTGGGGGGAGGGGGTTCATGTCTGGAAGGTGTGGGGGTTTTAGTGCCATGAAGGGAAGAGAGAAAGCAGCACTTGTCTTGGTCCGTGGATGAGTCGCTCATGGAACGAAGCTGGCCCCACTGCTGCTCCCACAGGCACCTGCCAGCCATCAAGCAGCCCTGCCTCCCCCAGCCTCCCGCACCAGAGCCACCACGTGCTGGAAATTCATTTTGAACTTCGAAATGCAGAAGTAACTGTTCTGACAGTTCCTGCTTCCTCTTCTCCCCCTGCCGTCCAGGCTCCGTCTAGGGACAAGTCCTTAAAACCTGAAGGTTCCTCCAGTGTGTGCCAGCCCACCTTTTACCTTGTGCTTGCGCCCAAGTTAATTTCTAAGTTGTCTTGATGGGCTCTAGGAAGCAGGTAACTGACTTAACAACTAGTGATGGCTGCAGAGGCTTTTCACAGTGTGCGCAAGCTGCCTCTACCTACCCACAGTGACAGAGGTGGCACCTGGGTCAGACGCTGTGCCAGAACTGATAGTCGCCTTGGAGGGCGACTTCACAGGCTGACAGCTTGCTGGGGGTCATGTGGCAGCTGCCTGCTCACACAGGGAAAGTGGACCACGGTGATGGGCTCTGCGTGGCAGGAGAGGGCACAGGACCGGAGCTCCAGGGTGGGAGGGGTGGCCTGTGCAGGTGGGACTCGGGGTCTCCCGTGAGGCTCAACCCAGCTGTTCAGGAACTCGGGGTTCTCCTGCACCACTGGAGCCCAGCCACCCCTGCTGGATTAACCACACCTCCCAGGGTGCACCTCAGACAGGAATAACCTGCAGTTTCTGTGGCAACAAAGCAACCTGACTTGGTGAGGTTTCAGGGTAACACCTTTCCACCCACCCCTTTTCTGAATGTGGGAACGCTGGCAGTGGAAGCAAGCAAGAGCATCAGCAATGCAAAGCCCTTACTTCCAAGACCCTACTGAGACCTCGCGTCCTTTGTTTCCTCCCCTCTCTCTAGACAGCGGGCTTCCGGAAAGCACTTGCTCACGTCCCGCTGCGTGGTCGACCTGGGCTTTGGCCGTCGTGGGAAGGAGGACCAGCCAAGTCATCTGTGGAACTGACAATGGAAGACCGTCTCGGCTGGGGTCTCAGCCATGGCTGCGCTTCAGGACGCCCTTGGCCACAGCCCAGACAGATCTGATCAGACTCCGGGGGCCAGGGCCAGACACCAGCAGTACGGCAAGCTCCCCAGGTGACTGCCGCTGGCGCAGAGCTGAGCGGGTAAGTGCTGGGGTGAGGGGTCCCCAGCTGAGGGGACTGGCCTGCCGTGGGTATCCGGGAATGAAGGTTGGGGGTGGGAGAGCAGGTGGTTTATTGCTTCCAACACCAAAACAGAATGGAGCAGCTTCAGGCTCACAAAAGCACTTTTTATTGGAGGCAAAGTAAGTCTGGCTGAAAGGATTACAGTTCTAAGCAGTCAAAACTCAGCTGTTAGTGGCACTACTCTGACTTCGTAGATTTTGCTTCTCCTGGGTCGGAAGAATTGTACTTTTCCCAGCTGGGCGAGAAGAAAGGCAAAGAAAACACTGGCGGCGACTTCTAACCTACTGATGGTGCTGCCCACTCCCAGATCCCTGCGAGCAGGCCCTGGCTGGCTGGGCTGCACCGAGGATTCCTCAGGCAGGGAAAGCAGGCACACGTGACGTGGGGAAGAGCCGGCATCCGCAGCTTCAGAACTCGGCGTGGAAGGGGTAATCCTTGTGAGAGGCACAGCTGTCGGGGGAAAGAGGGCAGATTTGCTTTCAGAGAGACGAGCTGGGCTGTAGCGCGCGACCCCCACCCAGAAGTGGCGTCTCGTCACAGGCAGAAAGGGACGCCTCGAGGGTGACGAGCTGGTTAGGAGCTTCCCAGGGTGCTCAGCACTGCCTCTGGGGCATGCGGGTGCCAAGCCCCTCCCCAGGAGAAGGGACCCGGGGACCTCGTACTGTCTTAGGCAGCAAGAAGGTGGACAGAGCAGAAGCGTCTAGAAGCTCTGTGTGACTGAGTCCCAAAGGATGAGCGGAACAGCAAGTGCTCGCGGGACACGGGGAGAGAGGGCACCGCCACTTCCAGATGCCTCCTGGTTTCAGTGGGAGTGACAGCGCCCAATACAACAGCCGGGGACCTGCTACAGGAAACGCAGGAGGGGACACGAGCGGGAGGGGACACGAGCGGGAGGGGACAGGAACGTTTGCCAAGGCTCTGACCATCGGCGGGGCCCGTGGCTTGCAAGGGGCAAGTCGTGGCAAGAACGCTGGGAAGACTGGCCAGGCAGGGTGTGAGAGGCCCTGGTGAGCCTTGCTCTTACTTAGCTATTCACAGATACTCAAAGACCCCCTGCCAGCCTGTCTTTGTGGCGTATCTGAGGAATACAACACTGGCATCAGCAACACAAACTCAGTATAGCAACAGGTAGCAAAAAAAAAAAGGGCTGGCACACATGTGGCTAGAAAATCTTCGTTAGGAGACCTGGGAGTATCAGAGCAAGCCTCTTCCTCCTCATGCCACCCCTAATCCACCCCCTTCTCAGCGTGATGCTGCACAGGGTAACCTGACAGGTTTTCTAGAACAGCACTGGAGGGTGGGAGGAGCCGAAATGCAAAGGGACCCATTGTGTATCAGCCCCGCCGCCCCACCCGGCTTCAGAAGAAGCCATGGGAGGGGCAAGGAAAGAACAGACCTGACAGGTTCTCAAAGGACGGATGGAATCTGGTTGATCTGCTCCTCTCTCCCTTATCCACCAGATCCCAAGCTGATTTTTTTTAACATCGAAAGGTTAACAGCATTAACAAGCACAGGGATGTCAGGGGCTCGGCTGAGACGCCGGCGATGGCCCCGTCTGTGGTGGGCTGTGGACCCTGCTGGCTGCGCTTACACCTGAAGCCCAGAGGCTATCCTGGGTCCAAGACACAGACTTGGGCGGAGGCCAAGGCTGCCAGAGGTGCAAACTGGGAACCCAAATGGAAGGGAGCGCGCAGACAGACTGGGCAGAGAAGGGTAGCCGCTCCCTGGCCCCGGGGAATGTTCCCATGCTGCTTAGAAGATTCTAAAGGAGACGGAGAACAAGGCAGCTCGGACAGGAGGGAGGCAGCGGGAGAGGGAGGGAGGGAGCGGGAGAGGTAGGGAGGGAGGGGGAGAGGAGAGGAGAGAGAAGTGGGAAGTTGCTTCTTGAAGGTAAAAGAACTGTCAACTGTATTAGTTACTGTCCATCGCAAAAGCCTGACTAGCTACCTCTCCAATTCCACACCCCTCAGAGAGAAATAAGGCATCATGGGAATGCAGGGGGAGGGGCCCAGGGACCTCTGCCAGCTGGCTTATCACTGTCAGAGCCGGGACTGTCCCAAACTCCAGCACATGGTCTTCCCATAAAACCACTTTCACGAGGACCATTAAGACAAACAGTCATGTAGCAATTCTAGGAAGACAGGGCAGGGACATACGGGGTTATCAGTTTCAGATGAGCCAGATTTGAATGCTAAATGCCAAAATATGTAGCAGTTCAGGTTGGGCCAACAGTGCCCCTGGGGGAGGGGCTAGGAGGCCAGGGCCGGATCTCCTGGTGGTTTCCCCGCGACCCAGTGCGGGTCTGCTGATAGGGTTCCCCCGTCTCCTGCTGCACGGGGACGAGAGCCAGGGGAAACACACTGAGGAAGCACAGCTGTGGCAGGGGGGCCTGGCCATCGAGGGTCAGCACGGTTCTGCAGCCCCATCAGGGCCCCGAGCATCACACGAGACACTCACCTCACCAGGGCGCAGACCCTCCAGTTCCTGTTGTAGCTCAGTAAGGTAGTCATGTCCTCGCTGCTCAGTTCAAAGTCAAAGACCTAATAAAAAAATCTAGTGAGCTCTGTCCATAAAAATAAAACCAAAGAGTACCGCGCAGGCCTGATGAGTCATCCTCTGGTGCACTGAGTGGGGGGGGGGGGGGCTGACCTCAGACACAGTGAGTTACAGCGCCCGTCTAGAATGGGCCCAGGCCAGCTGGGCGCCACCTGGAACAATGCAGGCAGCACGTGCCTTCCCAAACCTCCATGCAGTGCCACCTTCCATCCAGTTCATCATGCCACCAGCACCCGGAGCACTCCCACGTCATGACGGGCAAGATGTGTCCTTGTCATCATTTACAATGGAGCCAAGGACAGCGAGTCAGTCGCACACCATACCAGACAGGAAACAAGGCACCCAGGGAGTCAGAGGCATCAGGAATGATGGACCCCAGCTGGGGAACCGAAGGACATGGCCAGAGGAGATGGAGTTCGAGGTGGGCTTCTTAAGACAACAAATACAGGGACATAGGGCGTTAAGCCACCACCTGCGATGCCAGCCTTCCATATAGGCGCCAGATGCTGGTTTAAGTCCTGCCCATTCTGCTTCCAATCCAGCTCCCTGCTAATGTGCTCGGAAAGCAGCAGAAGATGGCTCAAGTGCTTGCACCCCTGCACCTGCGTAGGAGACCTGGATGAAGCTCCTGGCTCCTGGCTTTGGCCTGGCCCAGCTCTGGCCACTGTAGCCATTTTGGGGAGTGAACCAGCAGATGGAAGATCTCTCTGTCTCTTCCTCCCTCTCTGTAACTCTGTCTTTCAAACCAATTAATCAGTCAATAATAATAATAATAATAATAATAATAAAGATGCATCCAGTTTTGACAGAGAGGGCAGGAGAAGCGAGCTGGGAGGAGAGAGCTGCTCTCACAGAAGCCACAGCCCACACGGGGGGTGCGGTCTGCCCGGGGGCCGGTAGGCAGGCCTGCAGCGGCAGCACAGGGCAAGACCCAGGCCCAGAGCCAAGCACAGCCCAGCTCAGATCCCAGAGTGTGCTGAAACAGCCTGCCACACGCTTTGTGGTTCCAACTGTGGGAAATGTGAGCGACCGTACAGTAAGATCCAAAAATGACTAGGTTAGCGGTTTGAGATTATCCATTTAAATTTTTTATGTTAACGCCTCAAAACATGAACTACAGAACAAAGGCCCTGCTCCAGAACAGCAGGCCCTTCCCACGGTGCCCACTGCTCTGCCACGCCCCCGGAACAGTCGAAACATCTACACCCAAGAAGCAACCGTCTGACTCCACAGGGCCCTCCCCAGGGCCCCTCCCCGGGGCCCACCTTGCCCCCGTCTTGGGTGTGACAGTGCCAGCTATCAGGGCCATAGGCTCTGGCCAGTGGCACCCGCAGACTCAGCTGTTTGCTATGGCAGCAGGGCCCTGTGAACCCACACTACAGCTGGCAGGAAGACCCTGTGGAGCTGCCTCCCAGAGCCCCCTGCCCGCAGCTGTGCCGTGCTCGGGACTCGATTCTAGGTGCGGAGTGCCCGGCAGTGCTCAGTGAGGCCAGAGGCTGCAGAATCCCGGCTCCGGCTCAGCCCCTTCCATCGGTGCGAGGAGGGTGGGGGAGGGAGGTCACGGCTGGCATCTGGGCAGCTCTCCAGGCCACCCTGCATGCCCACAGCACCTCACCGGTGCCCTGACGCAAGCCACGCTCTGTCCAGGATGTCCAGGCTCCCTGGGGGGTCTGGGGGCCTCTGCAGACCCTGGGCTTGCCACCAGCACAGCAGTGTTTCCTGAACACTTAGGAAGGCACCAAGAGCCGTCTGAAGCACTCTGTGTGCTGTCTTATGCAGCCTGCACAACACTCGAAACAGGACTGCTGTACAGATGGGGAAACCGAGGCACAGGGCAGTTAAGTGCCTCGCTTAAGGCCACTCAGCGAGCACCCCCTGGAGCTGCAGTGTACAGCAGTGCCGCTCAAGAGCACCAGTTTCCCAGGCAAGTGCGTGGTGTCGGCGAAAAGCCTGGACAAGGTGTACGCACCAGCGTGGGGCTGCTGAGGCGCCAGCCTGGCAGGCCCAGGGGATCCACGGAGGAGTCACTGCTCAAGTCCATGGCTCGCTCACTCCAGCTTACCAAGGTCAGCTTACTGGTCTGAGAGGACACGGTGGGGGCAGGAGGGACAGGGACGGGACAAGAGGCCTTGTGGAGAGTCTCCCCTGCCTAGCCCACCGAGGGAGGAAAGGGCCAGCCAGCCGGATCTCACCTGGAAGTTCTCAGCAATGCGTGCCGGCGTCACGGACTTGGGAATCACCACCAGGTTCCTCTGCATGGGGAACCGGATCAGAACCTGTGGACGCAGGGGGGTGCCGAGTGTGGACATGCAGCAGGCGCGCTGCTCAGTCACCACTCTCAGCGGTGCACACACAGAACCCGAAAAAGAGGGGGGCACACCAGAACTGCACAGGAAAGAACAGCAGCACTCAGAGACGTCCTGGCCACACCCATTCACGGCGGGGGGCGGGGGGCACCTGCAGGTCCGGCTCTGAGTCCGAGTCCTGCTCTTAGCCGCTGTCTGTGTAGTCATGAGACCACAACGAGACTGGTCACGCCCGGAGCTCATCCTGCCACGTTCTCACGCAACTGAAAAGGAGGGCTCGCTCATCTTTTCCCAGAGATGGGCTTCCACGTAAATTAACAAATGCTGACTCCCGTGGCAGCCTGCAGGGCAGGTGCTGCGTCTCTAAGACCGCATGGCAGAATCCTCTCAAGTCCTAACCGGTGCCCTTCCCCCGTGCACACTCCAGGACTGCAAAGCACACTTCCAGGGAGGGCTTGACGGAATGACAGGCACCACCAAGAATGTGGGGGGCTCCAGGCAGGCTCACAAGCACCTGGAGGCGGCTGTACCTGGGCGGTGGTTTTTTTGTGCTTGTCTGCAATTGCCTTGATCCTGGGGTCTTCCAGGAGGGAAGGGTCCTCGGGCTTGGCCCTGGAGCAGAGAGACGGTTCAAGTCCACAACGGTCATCGCCACCGCTGCGGGCAGCCAGCAGCCCTCACCCCAGCGTGCCCATTGGCTTCAGGACAGCCTGCCAGTCTCCTCCGGGCCTACGGCTAGATTATAAACGCCCAGCCCTTTGGAAAAAAGAGCAGGCATCTTGCTGTAAGAGACTCAGCCCTCCCAGGAAACCCAAGAGGCTCCACGGAAGGTCTGTAGATGCACCCCAGAAGCATCTTCCTCAACGCTAGGCTTTTCCTTTTAGCCATTTCTGATTTCACTGAGTGACAAGTGGCCCCAGGGAACACGCACCAGGGCCTGTCGGGAGAGCCGAGGGGACTGTAGGCAGTGACCACGATGCCTTTGGAGTGGCAGTACTGGATTAATTTCTCCTGAGTTAGGTACGGGTGGCACTCGATCTGCAAACAAAACAGCAGGGGCTGATGATGGCACCGTGGGTCTAAGTTATGTGACACAGGCAGCTTCCTCAGGCTGAGTCCCGCCCCTCCCCACCCAGACAACCTTGCCTAACAAAAGTCTGACGTCCCAGATAAGCTGTAACAACTTTATACATTTCCCAGCTAGTGTGCTGGACAAGAGAACAATAATCTCATTACCAATGTTCTATGGCCACAGGCCCCAAGGGCATTTCCTGGCTTTGGTCATTTTTCAACCGTCACAGGCTGGGGGATCTCAATGGCTGTGCACTGCTCATCTGTCAGAACCCTGGGTCAGCACAGGCCAGGCTCAAACCCCGTCTCTCTGCGCGTTCCCACTCTCCCACGCGGTGACACGCCGGGTCAGAACTCAGGACACTGCCGGAGCCCAGGAGCCGCTCCCGGCCACTCTCTGGGGGTGGGGGACATGAAGGAGCAGCCGCCCCGGGGGAGGTTTACCTGGTTAACTGCCGGCTTGTATTTTAAGCCCGGCTTGTTTAGGATCCTCTCGATCTGCAGATGGTTGAAATTGGAGACGCCGATAGACTTCACGAGCCCTTTGTCCACCAGCCCCTCCATGGCCTAAGGAGAACAGAGGGTCTGTCTGCTGCGGCAGTGAGCCCCAAAGGACAGGGGCAGAGCACCCTCCACACCAGTCGGTTCCACGGGTCCTGCCCTCCTTATCAGCAAAGTGCACTTTCCAGAAGGCAGGGGACAGGCCCGCTCACACCTGTGCCCTCCCAGGGACAGGCAACCAGCAAGGAAGGGCACACGACCCGCCTGCCAGGGTCTTACCTCCCACGTGTCCAGAAAGTCAGTGTCGCTGGGAATCACGTTGCCCGCCGCATCCAGGGGGAAATACTCACTGCCGTGCTGTGGTGACAGGCAGAAACAAAACAGTGAACAGCAGCCCTTCGCAGGAAACAGGCAGGCAAGCCCTGATGTCCTGAGGTCAAGCTGAGCCCGCTGGGCAGAGATGTGTCCAGGTCTCGATCACACAGACTAACCCCAGCATAGGCCGCAGTGTGGGGGAGGGGAAGGAGCCCAGAGCGGACCCACGGGGCCCAAGCCCTGGCAGGGTTCCTGGCTAATAAAAGTACTACCTTGCCAAGCCTCATGAGCTCAAGAAAAACAAAGGATGAAAGCCAAGTGCACTCAGACCCCAACAGGCCACAGTGCAGCAGCACAGAGCCACAGGATAGGACCCAGGCACTTTCAACGTGGCCGGCCAAGCAGAAAGCTGGGCCGGCCGTAGGAAGGAGGGGAAGGAGTCGGTCACTCTAGGGTCCTTCCTGAGCAGAGAAGCGGGCTGTGGACGTTTCCACCGGGTGGGGTGTGCGGGCAGTGCAGGACACACACACGTACTGTGTGAGCACAGGTGCACCTGTGTGCCGGGCCTGGGGCAGGGAAGGACAAGCGCTGATTGTCCTTTGCGGCCATGGGGATAGCAGCTGTTTGCTGTCAGGAAGGGCTGGGATTCGGATGGCTCGGTGGGGTCTGAGACTGATTTCTAACAAGCTCCTAGGTGATGCCATTGCTGCTGGTCCACGGGCCTCACCCTGAGCAGCAGGGACAGAGTCTGTGCATACATGACCTGCCGATGAGGGAGGCCAAAACACACCACAAGGCACACGGGAGCCACGGGGAGCTGGTCCGGGCACCGCGCTCCATACCTTAAAGCCCGTCGGCCAGTGGATAAGGTAGAGGTCCAGGTAGTCCAACTTCAGGTCGTTCAGTGTCTTCTGGCAGGCACCTTTTACCAGGCTCTTGTCGTGGGACGTGCACCACAGCTGAAGCCAGCAAGAGAGCAGGTCTCACAACCCACGTGAAGGACACTCGGGGCCGGGACAGGACTCGCTCTCCTCTCCCTGTAGCCCACCCGCCTCCCAGAGCGGCTGTGAATGGCTGTGAGGCAGTTTCCATTGAATACCTTGGATGCCAACTCTCTCAGGGGACGTACAATGACCTGGTCAAGGGAACTACCCACGAGGACCAGACAGAAGGCACAGGGCAGCCAGCCAGGCCGCCTCCCCACCGGCCCCGTGCTAAAGTTCTTAGGGCGGTTTTCCCAGCAGGCTGGTCTCTGCAGAGCCAGCCTCCCCTTCCTGCCCAGTATCCCTTGTGCACCAACAGCCTCCAGGTAAAAACCTGGCAGCAGTGGAGAGTCAGTCCATAGGTAGGAACCAGGGTCTGTCCTGGAAAGGGGGCGCAGCCCCGATCAGCCTCAGCAGCACGGGGCTGTCACCCACAGGTCCTGGCGCAGTAGCTACCCAGCAGAGCCAGGCAGGCAAGCTCTAGAGCCCTCCCCGGCCCCGAGTCCCCCGAGTCCCCGCCCCGGTGAGCGGTGAGCCGAGCTGTGTTAAGAGTGCGGCCCGGCAGAGCGGTACCTTGCTGACGATGAAGAGCTCCTCACGCTTCACCACCTGCTCCTTGAGCTTCTCCTGCAGGGCCACCCCGACCTCGTTCTCGTTCTGGTACACGTGGGCGCAGTCGATGTGGCGGTACCCGAGGTCGATGGCTGTCTTCACGGCCTCGGTCACCTGGCCCGGTGGTGACTGAAAGGGGAAGGAACGTAAAGTGACAGGGCGTTGCTGCAGGCGGGGCCGGGGCCGGGGTGGGGGCCGCGCTGCCGCTCTTGGCACTAGCACTGCGCTTAGCACCTCACTGTCAGACGGTGTCCCGAAGCCACCTCATTTCCTCGCTACTTCACAGCTGCCGGCTGACAGCCACCGTGTGACAGAGCCCCTGCGACAGACAGGAAACCGTGGGCTCCTGGGAGCTCACCGCATGTCGGAAATCGCTACGCTACAGGTGCTGGCCTGGGCTCAGCAGCTAACACCTGCCCTCCGCGTCACCCTGGCGCACACGGCCTCTGACATTGGCAATCCCTGGTCTTTAAGTGGTTCTGGGAGATGATCAGGAAGTAGAGCACACCAGTGGCTCTCAGTCACAGGCCCGGGCGTCAGATCCCGCTGCATGGGGCCTGTGTGTGAGGTGGAGACGAGATGGCCCCTTCAGAGATACCAGCAGACGGGAAGGGGCTGAAGGGAGCCGGGGATGGGAGTCCCGGGTCGCCAGGTGGCTGTGGCTGCGGCAGCGCAGGGACTGCAGGGGCGTCCGACCTCGCAGTCTCTGAGTGACCAGGACAGGTGCCGGAAGTGTGGCTGCTGGGGCGAGGGCGGCGGGGGAGGGGAGGGCGGCTTGCCCAGCCATTGAGCCTCGCAGCACCCAGACAGACCAGGGGCCCACCTCCTGGTGGCTGCCGCTCAGAGAGCTGACCACAGTCCGTGCGCAGCCGACTGTGGGGAGGACAGAGCGCATTCCTTTGGAGAGCTGGGCTAGAAACAAATGGAAAGGAAAACTCCCCAGGGCCATCAGCAGCTGCCGCCTGTCGTCGGCTGCTTTCCCAGCAGCTGCTGTGTGGGACAGGCTGGGGGAGGGACACAGACCCGGGGACCAAGTCCATCACCAGCGCCCGGCAGCTGCGGGGCTTGTCCCCCCCCCCCCCCCCCGCCACGGCCATGGAGACACCAGGGCAGCGGGGATGCTGACACCTGCTGTGAGTTCAGAGGAGAGCTTCAGATGATCTGGCAGCCTCCTGCTGCCTCAGAGGACCTACGGAGCTGCACCTGGAGCCTCTCCCTGCTTTGAGATTGAAGGAACAAAGCAGGAAGGGAATCTTGACCTACCTGTGGCATCCCAGGCACAGCCATGGCTGATGTGGGCAGACAGTGAGCACACCCTTGCCCCAGAAAGAGAAAAGCCACGGGCCCAGGCCTGGGGTTGGAGCAGTGTGCCCAGCACGCACAGAACTTCCTTCCCTTGTTGTCTGAACAGCTGCTGCTGCATGTCTGCTACTGGGCCTGCTAGTGCCTTGCAGCCCCTAGTCCCAGAGACAAGGGTGAGCGCGTCCCCAGGTCTGGCCTAGCCACACCCCTCCTGTCCCAGAACAGGCCCAGAGCCAGGCGCGGGACTTATCCTGGATGTGGGTTGAATTACTAACAGGAACTGCTTTCCTCCTGGCATCATCCTGCTGAAGAACACGGGTCTGGAGCTGCAGGAGGGAGCTGGAGTCCAGAAACACGGAATACTGGACCCTGGGGGCCCGAACTCAGCGACTCCCATCTGAAAGGTCAGTGAGTGAGTCCACATCCTGAACACACTGGGTTGGTTTTTTTTGTTTTTTCGTCTGCTTAAGATTTAGTTTTGCAGTTTCTTAGCCGAAAGAGTGGAGACAAGGTAGTCAAGGTTGCTGATCAACTGGCGCAAAACAAAACAAAAATTGTATGGCGTTTTTACAGAATGACTTGAGAGGTCACAAAGAAGCTGCTGTCCCCTGACGTTTCGTGGGACAGGGCTACACCCTGGAGATACTGTAGAAACAAGGCTGTCCTGGCGTTGTGGTGCAGTGGGTTAAGCTGTGGCATGCAACGCCAGCATCCCAGACCGGAGTCCTGGCTGCTCTGCATCTGACCCAGCTCCCTGCTAATGCACCTGGGAAAGCTGCGGAAGATGGCTCAAGTACTTGGGCCCTGGCCACCCAGTGGGAGACCCAGAGGGAGTTGCTGGCTCCAGGCTTCAGCCTGGCCCAGACCTGACTGTTGCAACCATTTGAGGAGTGAACTAGCAGATAGAAAATCTCTCTCTTTCTGACTTTCAAATAAATAAATATTTTTTTAAAAAAACATTTGTCATACCCACAAGACTCTAGCAGAATAGGCTGGAGGGAAAAACCCAGAAAAGTTCCAGTGCACCACCTTTCACGCACTGTCCACGTCAACACAGTGTGCTTGCTTTTCACTGGTGCAGATATACCAAGCTCGTTTGGCTTTATGTCCTAATGCATTTCAGAGCGCAGTAATGCAAACTACAATTTCAAATAACACAAGATCACAGAACAATCCTGTCTGCTACCTTATTGTGCTGAAATCAAGGTTAGTCTGGCTAGTATTTTATATCAAAGTTCATAATCCAGTTTGGCAGCAAACACCGACCAATAAAAGTGGGTTTCACTTCCTCCCGTTCTATGTCAATTCAACTGTCCTTAACTCAAGACACTGATGTCTCTGGTTGGTTGAGATGTAGATGGACCAGGACTGATCCTCCATGGGCAGGTGGATGGTAAACCAAGCTCCTGAGTTAGCACCAACACCCCAGGAGCTCAGGGCCCTCCTGGGGGAAGAGGCAGGAAGGCTTTCTTGGGACAATGTCTGCTGCCTCCTGTGTTCTCAAGGGGAGTGAGTGCCACCATCCCAAAGAGGCAGAACACTGGTCTTAGCTTAAAGAACAGCCTGAGGCCCTCTCAGAGGGTACAGGATATAAATATACTGTCTTAATGTGCTGTACATTGAGATTTAATGCTATAACGAGTACTCAAACAATATATTTCCCTTTGTGTTTCTATGGGGGTGCAAACTGTTGAAATCCTTACTTAATGCATACTAAACTGATCCTCTGTAAAAAAAAAAAAAAGAAAAAAGAAAAGAAATTAT